TCACGGTCTCGCTCTATATAAGCACGTTTCTCTGGTATAACGGATTGGGCCTCCGCTATGTCGTTGTATGTTTCTTCAAAGATATCATCGATAATTTCATCCAATCTTTCATCTATTTCTTCGGATGAAGATGATGACATGTTTGTAATTCCACCTTAAAAAAATTATTTAAGTTATTGAACATAATTAGCAAATAAAAAATAATTAAGTATCCTAATTAAAATTAATTAGTAAGTAAAATCAGCAATAATCAATTTTTCCCTAATTTCATGTATCCTTAAATGTGAAATAAATTTTTTTTTTTTTTTGTATATTAGCCATATTATGTGATGGACATGTTCAAATTAAATTTTTTGGTTAAGGTCAATATTTTACTTTCTTGAACATAATTAACAAATTAAAAATAATTAACTATCCTAATTAAAATTAATTAGTAAGTAAAATCAGCAATAATCAATTTTTCCTTAATTTTCATGTATCCTTAAATGTGAAATCAAACTAATTTGATTAAGGTCAATATTTTACTTTCTTGTAGTCATGAACTAGTAATATTATTAATTTTTAAAACTAATTTCCTGTATGATGTTGAAATACTACATGTAAAACTAATTTTCTGTATGTTAAATTACTTCAGTGTTTTTGGTAAAGTTTTAAGCTCAACATTCTTATATTTACCATCCATGATCTTAAAATACTATACGTTAACAACAGATGGACAGTTAAAATACTACACTAAACAAGTTTGAATCAACAACATATTACAGAAGCAAGCAAAGCATCATATTAAGTCAAAGAAAAGAGCCAGAATTTGGTACCTAAAACACAAGTGATACAAAAGGTCTTGCAAGGGACGCAAGAGAACAAGAACTTCAGACAGAGTTTGAGCTAGCAGTGTCAGCTTACAAGTACAATCAGCCAAAATACAACCTCGCCGATAGAATACTAGAGTACCCAAAATACAACCTCACCGATAGAATAATAGAGAACCTAAGTTTTTCATAAGATGGAACACTAGAGAACCCATCACCACTACTTTATACTACATAAACTTAACCAGTAGAGCCCGTGACTTCTCCACTTGCAGCTAAAGACCAAAAGATCAAATCCACCCGTGACTTCCTTCACATGCCTACTGCTCCACCCCTGATACAACTCAGCAAAAATAAGACAATAGTTAGTTTACAAGTATTAAAGAAACAAACATAAACTGAAAGATGTAACTAGAAGCAACTACAAACTGAAAGATGTAACTAGAAGCAAGCATAAACTACAAGCAAGATAAACTAGACATGAGACGTAAGCTAGAAGCAAACATATACTCAATTTACCTAAACTCATATCATCTGAGACATGAGCTTTATTTTAAGAGATGTTTCCAGCTCACTAAGTGGCTCTTTTTTGGCGAGTAGACGGTCAAGCAGCTTCTTGTTTTGGATCTTCTCTTTCATTTCGAAGATGATTTGTAACTGAGAGAGTGACTCTTCTCGAGCACTCTTCTTCTTCTTCGTGGCAGCTTTTGCAGCCTTGACACCCATAGGACGACCCTCTGTTTGTCCCACTTCTTCTTCCTCTGCTCTATCAACGTCCACCACTTTGCGCTTTTCCTTAGAGAGATAGGTGGAGGCCCATTTCTGGTCGTGCCTCAAATCCCTCCAGGCGTGTTCCATACTAAACTTGACCTTGTACTGATTGTTGAAGTTGTCTAGGGCTTTACTCATCACGTCATCATCGCTTTGACCACTCCTCTCATCCCTCAGAGCCGCGTCATAGCAACCAACGAATTTGCAGACTTGCTCGTTGATCCTAGCCCACCTCTGCTTGCACTGACCAAGCTCTCTAGGTGTTTCTCCCACAAATTGAGGGCTTGCGTTGAAGAAGTCAACTATTCTCTTCCAAAACGCTACACCTTTCTGCTCATTGCCCACCACCGCATCTTTGCTGGTGTTAAGCCACGCAGAAATGAGTATTCTATCCTCCCTCGGGCACCACTTCCTCCTCGAGAGACCACCAGAGTCGAGACTTGGAGACGGATCCGGACCTTGGCTACCAAACCAAAATGGTTCGGGTGAATCAAGGTCCACTGATGCTTGGGTTTGGCTAAACAGAAGGTTAACATAGCTAGAGTTGTTATCCATGTTTAGAGACTCGGTTGTGTCACTGTAATAGCAACACAACGACTTAAGTAGGCAACCTTAAATTTGATTTGGTTTAAAGGCAATAAAGACGAAGCAGATAGGAAGATAGAAAGCTCAATAGTTGCATTAAACACCAATCAAATCACACTAACATCCTAATTTAAAGCTGTAAAACATTAAAAACAACCACATCTTAGGCGGTAGGAAGCAACCACTCTTCTTTTACTAGTTCTATAATGGTAACTAGTTTCATATAAAACTAAGTCAAAGAGAAGTAACTAGTTACATCTAAAGAGTAGTAACTAGTTACCATTTACGGTAACTACTTGCATCTTAACTAGTGACTAGTTCTTATTTTAAAGTATATCATTATAGATTAGATTTATTTAGTTCTTATATTAAAGTATATCTTTTTATTTATTTTTAGTTCTTATGTTAAAGTATATCATTTTATTTATTTTTAGTTCTTATATTAAACTATCATATATTAAGGTAGATCATAGTTGTAATGTTGAACCTTTATTAAACGAAGTTGTAGTGTTGTACCTAATTATGCCGACATGTGGTTTAGACCAATGAAGCTCTTCCTGCAAAAAACAAGAGATCCAAGAGTCAATAGTCTTACTTAAATTGCATGAAGAACAACCAAAACACAAGAGATATACTTACCAGTCACACACATAACCGCCAAACCTATAGAAGCTAATACGGAGACGACTACACAAACGGTTTTTAGCTCTCGAACGGTCTTCTTAAGCTCACACACGGTATTCTTAAGCTCACACACGGTCTTCTGTACCTTGACCACCTTCTCATCACATTGAAAACCTTGATCCTTAAGGTGTCTGACTTGTCTCCGCACCTCACTCATCTCCTCTGTGACAGCCACGTCCCACCACTTCCAAATGTGGAACTCCCCGTCGTCCACATTGTCGCACGTGAAGTACAACCTCCCTGGATGTTTGCTCGTGTAGGATATACCAACAGCAGGCTCACCACCACAATAGCAACTGGTAGGGATTCCAGCATCAGCCTCAGCTTGAGATGTGTACTGACCCGGCTCTGCAAAGTAGCTACTCGAAACTTCATCCGCGTAGAGTTGAGCTTCTGCTTCAAGAAGTGACGTCATGTCAAACTCTGATGATGAGGAAGGCTGGGTGTACGAATAGTCTTGTCCCATGATGAGTAAACCTGAAAGAAATCATGTAATAACAATAGTTAGTGCTCTCAATCTATAACCAACAATCATACTGTGTGTTAAAGACATGAAGCAACAACAAGAACAAACAGAGAGCAATACCGAAACAACTACAGACACGAAGCAATACCGAAACACAGACAATCACGGATCAATACAGAAATAGAGGGATTTTAAAACGGAAATCGATTTCAAACCTAAATCGTTGTCAAACCCTAAATCCCAAAAGTTCGATTGAAATCCTAAATCCCAAAAGTTCGATTACAAAGCATACGAGAATATCCAGATATTGTTGGAAACCTAAATCGTTTTCAAACCCTAAATCACAAAAGTTCGATTGAAATCCCAAATCCTTCGAAACCCTAATTTGAAAAACACAAATCAATCGAAAACGAGAAAACCGAACCCTAAATTGAAAGGAAAACAACAAAAGACCTAATCTAAACACATAAATCGGCAACATGAACCTTCGATCTACCTTTCTCGACCGAGTTCTCCAAAATCGCCTTTTCTCCAGAGCGATTTTTTTTTTCTCCTCTTCGATCGAAATGAGTTTTTTTCGCGACAAAACACAAACCGTAGCAACCACCGACCAGCCAAAACGTGACACGTGGCTAAGAATCAACGAAAATAAATCCTTATTTACGTATTGATCCTTAGCCATTTGGGGTTAAATAATATTTAAAAAATGACTAATTCGATGGACCGGTGGTTAAGGATCCCCACGTTCCCACCGATGCACATGGTCTAAGGAAGTGACCAAAGGATTATCAACGGTGAGAGAAACGTGGGGTAAGATTGGTTTTATCTTGTTCGTTTACTTTTAGAACTTGGTTATATATGTTGACAACTATGAGACATACACACAGCGAGTCTCAAAGCTTCATGTGTGAGTAGAGTATAACCCTTGTTCGCTCTTTATACGCAAATCTTAGGGCATAAAAAGATACTAATGATGGTAATATTTTATTTTTGTCAAAAACTATCTTCAGCATCGTGATGGTGTCTTGTTCATCCATCTGTCGTGAAATTTCTCTCAGAGACAAATTGACTAGCTTGGGAAGTACCATGGAGACCAAAAAACGACAAGACGTTTTAGGTTTGGACAGATCAGGTTCTGGCAACAGACACTGCTCTGGTACGTGGATAGTAAAGCTTGATCATAAATGGGAACAAACTGGTAATTAAAAAAAAAAAAAAACTGGTAATTAAAATCCATAATATGCTACACAAAACCTACAAAATGAACCAATCTCTTCCTTGATTGTTGAATATATACATGGCAGGGAATGAAAGGAATGCTGTAACCGTCAAATTCATCTCAAAGGTAAGAGATAATTAAGAGAGCATGCATGCACTTGTACAGTAGTATACAAAAATTTGCATGAGCAGATCCAGTCTCTTGAGGATTGAAAATGTGAAGAAATGTGCAGCAACATAGTCGGTGGAATCAGAGGTATGGTAGCAATTGAGATACTCTGAATGATTATCCTTTTCTGGTTTTTTCTCTATATAACATTAAACAACAACAATCCTATTATTGGTTGCATAAAACTTACATCGAAAAAGTTATCTTATGTGTTTTGGAGTCGGCTATTTCACCATTCTCATTAAATAAATCATACTTTCTCGGCAAAAATTTCATGTGATGGATTGTTATCAATTATTCAAAAACTCTTAAAGTTATCAAACAATTAAAAGATATAGTGAGTGGCACGAGTGTAAGAAATGTCAACTACTACTTAGAATAAAATATTTATGTAGACCTAATGATTATTTGCTAAGATTTAGAAGCAAAATATAAAGGTAATATATTTGACTCTTTGCTATATTATATTGTAACCAATTCAAAAAGGAAACCTCTATCAGTCCCAATAATACAAAAAGTTCAAATTATGATAGGCAATACACTGTATCTTTGAACTAAAGGGAAAATAACCACAAACAAATAAAAACAAAAACATGGGAATGAAACACAAACAGATCCAAGTCTGGTTCTTGTTTGAAACTCAGAATCTGATGAACCCTTTTGTCTTGCAAGCTCTCCACAGTCTCCTTTATGCTAACCTCCAATGGCACAAATTTAACCCCAAGAGACTCTGCTTTCTCTTTAGACACTTTGTAGGTTGGAATAAATATCTTCAAAGATCTTGTCTTTATTCAACAACTTCTGTAAATAAAAACAGAGCTATTCTATTTTGTTTCTGACATTATAACCAAAAACTTACTTTTTAAAGAGTTGAAAATCAGGGTAAAGATCATGCAAGATGTTAACAACTTCAGAGTAATGAGAAACTCTCTCCACTAAACATTATCTTCCATTAGCTTTGGGATTCTCAAACTCTTGACTATGAGCGTTGGCTACATCTTTTACATTAACCCACCCGAATGTCGCATTAGGAAACGTCTGTGCTCCTGAAAAATGTAAACCAGTGTTTCAATCTTAGTACATGTCTGAATAAAAAAAAAAAAAATTTCAATCTTAGGAAAATGTCTGAATGAAAAACTAATCTCTCTTTTTTTTTAAATACCTTTGATCAAGCTTAGCACTGCAGCAGCACTAGTTTGAGCGTTGGCTGTAAGAGAGGACCAATCACCATTGTTGGATTTATCGAAACCAACTGTAAAATCATTCTCTTTAGCGAATTTCTACACTGCGTTTTCAGCTAATGTCTTGGAGAGTACATACCAAAGCTTTTTTAAAAAGAAGAAAAACAGTGTCTCAGCAGAAACAGAGTGATAACTTGGTGACCACGCAACCTTAAGCTATTTTAAAAATAATGTATTTATGTTTAGATTTTTTTTTTTATTAATATGAATCAACAAATGAAGTATTTTATAAGATTCAAACTAATTTATTGGTGAAATTATTAATCAATCTTCAATGAAACAACTAGACATACTAGCTTTCACAAAAAAATAGGTGTTCAACCAAGTTTTCATGAACTCGATTTTTAAATTTTATTAACCCTAGATAATCAGAAAAAGAAATTGGTTTTGTCAGAAAGACAAGTTACATTCTCGTGACACTGGAGCTTCTCTGTCTCGCTGCCACTGAACCGTTCTTAATCTCTCTTAAAGGCGGTCTTGAACACGACGGTTTTGTTGTTTTCCCTTCACTGTACTTAGACCATTCTCCATTGTTGCTATGTCTGTTTTCTTTCAACCTACAAATCAACACTCTCTTTTCTGACTCTGTTGGCAACTTATTCTTCTCTGCTTCTACCTTATCTTCCTTCCTCAATCTTTTCATCTCTTCTTGTAATCCGCAAACCTCTGCTTCAATGTTTCTCAACTTTGTTTCTGATGACAACGCCTTTCTTCTCCACCCTTCAACCTAAAACAGATTCATCAAAAGGATTTTCAGTTCATGTCATATCAAAGATGAATCTAAGACAAATCTCATAGTTTTTGTCAAAAGAAGTTTTAGGGATTTATTAATCAATAAAAATATTAATTAACTTACATCATAAACCCTAACCCTAATCCTAACCTCACTCCCTAAATATTAAACCCTAAACTCTAATCAATAAACCCAAAAAAAAATTTCATTAACGTTATTTTGGTGATTTTCCTCTTGATGTAGTATTTTTTGAACAAAAACTTGGTTTCGTGCTATCTAAGAATATTTCTCATGAATCTCTATGTGTGTCTGTAAATCTATCTTACTGAGGAACGTAGATTCTGTATCTGAGAATCTGATTCAAGAGCTCTGTTTTGCCAGAAATCGCGACAAGTTTGAAGTTCCTCCATTTCATTCCTCACTTGACTCAGCATTTCTTGCATCTGTGACCACTGCTCTGCCTCTGCTCTTACTTGATCCGCAATCTTCCTCATAACTTCTTTACAGTGTCTAGAACAGCCTTTCTTTTCCTCATCCACCTGCACCACAAAAAAAAAACAATCCATCTTCACTTGAGCTCTCAATCATATTACAAAAGCTTTTCTCACAAATGTACTTTATTAAACATGTCTTGTTCATATACATATTCTTTCTCCATTCTCTCTAACAATACACCTTTAGACAATGCCTCCATTTTTAACAGTGAACTGTTTGTCACTCACATTTTGATCAGCTAGAGTGTTGGGAGGATTGACCAAGAAGCTAGCTTCTGCCATTTTCTGAATCCCTTTCACACAAACCTCTCCTTCATCAAACTTCACCAGCTCTCTTCTTAAAACAGAAGCTTGTCTGTCAAAGTTATGTCTACTGTTCCCACCTCCCATGTCTTTAACATTTGAAGACTTCAACTCATTCAGTTTCTCAATCAAGTAGCTAATCTCATCTTCCAAAACATTACTCTCTTTCTTCCCTTCAGATATTCTCTGCTTCCCCTGAATCAACAAAAGCTTCAAACTCAAAAACACTCAACTCTCAGCAAACCAATCAGATGCAGGAAGAAAAGGTTTACAGTCACTTACAGAGAGAAGAGTAAGAACAGCAGATCTAAGCGTTCTCTCCATCCGCTTCTTCCTCCTCTCCATCTTCTTACTAGCAATCTCTTTCTCAACTCTCAGCAAATTACACTCTGATCTCAACATCTCCGCCTGAAACCTCCACTTAGCTTCATCAACGGGAGAAGACGACAAGGACACACCCATCTCTCTCCCGTCTCCAACTTTCCCTCTTCTCCTTCCTCCCTCCTCCTCCTCCTCGTGATCGTGTCCTCTTCCATGAAAAGACCTCTCTTGGTGAAACAGAACCTCCAGTTTCAGTCTCTGATCCTTCTTCGGTGATGCTGTCTTCCCCTTTGCAACATTTCTCCGAATGCTATGCCTACGTGGCAGCTGGAGAATCCTCGGCGCAGGAAGGCCCACCATTCCGTTTCTTCTCTCCATGTTTTCACCACCGACTTTTAAAAAAGACATTGAAAGTGTCTGTCTTTTTTTGTCTTTGTCTCTTTCTGGTAATGATTGTCAGAAGAAGAAGAGAGACATGAAAGCTCTGGTCTTGTCTTTTCTTACTCTGTCGGACTTTGAAAAGTAAAACCCTTTTTTTTTGGTTACCGTTGCAAAGCAGAGAGAATCACTCGGAAAGAGACAACCTTTGAGAATTCAAGCGCAAAGATCGATCGCTACTTTTTTGTGTTTTTTTTTAAAAAGAATTGGGTTGTTTTCTGTGGATATATATAATAGTATAAATGAATGTGAAAGTAGTAACGATCTTTTTGGGTCAGGTTCTCGAGTAAAGCCTACGGCGAGAGAAAGAAGGAGAGAGACCTCGTGAAGTGGAGCCATTTTCAAATAAAAGCTGTGTTGTTGTTGTTCGTGATCAAACCGCTTCCTCTTCTTTTCATGCTTATTTACAACTCTACCACTTCAGTGAGCTTCATTGGATGATGGATGGATATTCATTTATTATGGAGTATCTTTTTTTCTTCCTTTTTACGATATCATTAAGACATTAACGTATATAGTGACTAGTGTGTGTGTGTGTGTTTTGTCTTTTTTTTTGTCAACGACTAGTGATTGTTTACTCCAATCATGCTTTTCTATAGCCTATTCAAATTAACAACAATAGTATATGTATCCACTACATAGTGTTATTCAAAATGGTTAATTAATACAAATTTCGTAAAATTTTATTATGTTTATATGTTGTATACTACTTAAATTTTAGAGTGCATTTGTCAAATGGTACTTGCTATTAGCATCTAAAAATGTTAAGCATTAGTTTATTTTTTAATAAACAAAATAATACACTGTTGATCTCGGTAACAGTTCACTCAATATAGGTACGAAAATATCAAATTCAATTTTACTTGGTGATGTGAATATGTCATCCAATATTTTAATATTTTTTGTATGTCGCATCCCCTATATATTAAAAGAGAAACATTTGAAAAATTGTAATCTCAATTTTGTAATAATTAAAAGAGACCCCATGCTTAGGTGTCATTCAATTAGGTAGTCAATTACATTCAATTGAAAAATAAGTAGGTCCATATTCAATTTTTATATGTCGCTAGATATATTGGTCAAACTATATGATATGATTATATGATATTTATGATAGAAGCATTTTTTATTGTTCCGCTAAATATAGTTACTATTTTATTTTCTTTCCTTAAATAAAACCTACGGAATTACCATAAATGACTAACATATATATATATGACCATTAATATTCTAATAATAAATATTTGATAACAATTTATTTCTCCTCCATCATTTTTTCTTTAATTTTATATTATCAAAATAAATTAAACAATAAAATTAGCTATAAAATTAAACTTTAGATTTTTTCGTATATGTTATATTTTGAATTTAAAAAATGAGAATAAATGACTAAAACTATTAAAAATATTATGTTAAAAGTTAATGATCAATAGTTTAACATTTTTATTATAAAAAGATATACATGATCTTAAAACTATATGAGTAAAAAGTATCATTCAATAATAAAACAAATATATTTATAGATTAAAATATATACCATATAAGATTACATAAATATTTTAATTTCAAAAATTTCAATGAATTTTCAAGAACATTTATAAATTATAAACTTATTAAATTTTTCATTGAAAGGTTTTGTTGTCAATGATTTAAATATCTTAGTTCTTTTTAATTTTATATTTTTAAAAGATATTAAACAATCGATAATATGGTTATTTTTGGTATATACCATACAAACCGAATGGATGTGATTTTATAAAAACCGTAGGATTTGGATAAGGTTTGATTTATAACCGATTAAACTGAAACATGTATATATTTATAACGACACATGAATATCTATTTGTTACATGACTTGAACTATAGTTATGATTTGTAAATCACTTGAATCACTAGAACTATAATTAACTAACAATTTACTGCAACTGAGGCTTCTTATTTTCTTAATCTTTTTTTGGTCTTTTTGCTTTATTTTAACTGTAACTAAATTGAAGTAAAGATTATAAATTTGATGGACAACAATTAGTTGAAATTCTTTACAATTTTTTTTAATCATTAAACAAACAGAGTTGTGTTCAGTCGGAGACGTGTTAATTGATTAACACTAAATATGGAAGAATACAAAAACTTTTCTTCATGCTTCTGTTTTTTTTCTTCAAAATTTAGAGCTTTGATATTAATTCTAGATTAATTATTTTATTAGATGATAGAAGCTTTTTATTCTTTTATTTAAATATATATTTTTTTAATAAATGATTTTTTTGACAATATAATTCTAAATATGATCATATTATATATTTGTATAATATATAATATAATCTCAAACTAAATAATTATGTTTTTTGGTATAAAACTTAATAAACTGAAAACCGTTGGTATATAAACCAAATCAAACTGAAGTAAATATGGATTTAGAATAGTAGTTATATTTTAATAACTGAAATACCGAAAAATCAAACCGAACCGAAATCCGATACCAGGATTGAACACTCCTAATCCAAATGAAACCGAACTATTATTTCATTTTCCAGAACATAATAAAAATAATAACTCCATCCCGCGCAAGGCGCGGATCTTAACCTAGTTAGTTTGTATGTCATAAGTACATTTAAAATATGTTCAATTCGTACGTACATCTAAAATATGTTAAATATGTTCAATTCATACATACATTAAAAATATGTTAAAATATGTCAATTCATACGTAAATTTAAATGGTAAAATATGTTCAATTAGCTCTTCGATTGCATTCCAAGGCTAGCATCAATGTATTTCATTTGGAACGGGATGAATGCAAGACTTCACACGGCAACTACTCGTTCAACTTCTTCTCTGACCGAAGACATATCCCGTAAGCTAAAAGCATCTCCAAATTTTTTATTTTTTTTGAAGTTTCCAAAACTTTATATTTGAAGTTTTAAGGTGTTTTTTTTCAAAATCAAAACTTCAAACGCAACTTCAAAATTCTTTATATTTTACATCATAGTCTTTATATTTATCATAGTTAATGTAAATGAATAAAACATTTATAAATAACAAACACACACATATATATATATAAATTATACAATAATATCAATTAATAAAATCTTACACCAAAATATAAAATTATAAATACAAATACAGAATCAAATATTAACTAAAAGCAAAATAGCATATTATTGTCGTCTGGTTATAGTTTTATTTTATTTTATTTTCAAAATACTAAACTACAAGCAAATATTTTAAATTTTATTATAATTTTTTATTTAGTTTTATATATAAAACTTAAATTTATAAAAAGTAAAAGTTAATTTGAAATATTTATGAGATATAAAAGTTTAATTGATTAAAATGATAAATAAGAAAATATTTATGAATTCTAAATTTTATTTGTAGTTATAAGAACTAAAGTGCAATTAAAAATATGAAACTTCAAATTTAGAGTTTTGAGTATTAAAACTTCATATTTGAAGTTTCACTCTTCAAACTTCACATTTAAAATTTCGAAGTTCTTTTTTAGAGCAAAAAAATCTATATTTAAAGCTATAAATTTTTTTTTGAAAATGCTCTAAGAACACTGTTTGAGATATATCCTCACTAGTCGTCAGACTCATGTGCTCACTCCTTTCTCTCTATTTGGTTTACTCATTTCAATGCTCAGTTTGTAGTAGTTAGCCATCCCTTTGAGGACTGAGCTATGGTGATATAATTCTGTGTGGATGCAATTCTTAAGAAAATGTATTATTTTTTAAAAAATGTTTAATCAAATTGATAAAGGAAATTATGGGACATGACCATAAGAAAACAAAAATCTAAGTGCATAACCATAAGACCAACATAGTTAGAATATACTGTATATTTTATATAGTATTATAGCAAATATTCCTCTTCTTCATTTTCTTTTTTCTTTGTCTTTTTTGTTTCCCGTCTCAATTCATTTCATATGTAACTTATATATATAAATTAATATATCCCCTATATATTAAAAGATAATCATATAAAAAATTGTAACCTTAAGTTTGTAATAATTAAAAATAACTTCAATCCTATGTGGCATAACTTTTTGTCTTCTATTTTAGTTTAGAAGGATTCTAGAGCATGTAATATAATGTATCTAAAATTATACTCTCTAACAATATAATATTTTGTAGGCTATAGTTGATGGCATATATCAAATATTTATTGTTTTGCATGATTTCCTTAAATAAAACCTATAGAATTACCTAATGTGATTAAAATATATATATATATATATATATATATATATATATATATAACAATTAATGATTTTAAACAATAAATATTTGATAATAATATGTATACTTTTTTCTCATTTTGATTATTTATTTATTATTAAAATAAATTACAATTACATTAATCATATAATAAAAATTTAGATTTTTTTTGTGTATGTTATATTTCGAATTTTTCAAAATGGGTATAGATTACTAAAACTGTTAAAAATCTCACATAAACTTTTAGGATCAATGTTTTATTTTTTTCTATATTAAAATATAATGATTATAAGACCATATGAAGAAATAATTTTAGTTTATATATATTTCATATCGTTTATATTAAACTATACATCATATGAAAATACATACTTATATTTTGATATTTGCATTGAACATATATTGAAAAGTTAATATTTTAATTTTGAAATATGTCATTATTTTTTTTAAATGATTATAAATTATTGAAACTACTAAACATCTCACATTAAAAATAATTCGTTGGTATAAAGTTTTGTTACACAAATATGCAAATAATCATAAAATCATATGAGTAGAAACCTCATTTAATGAATATCCATATTAAAAATGTGCTATATTACTATGTTTATATCATTTAAATTTAACTATATATCATATACAAAATATAAAATTGATTATTTTGATTTACATACCCTAATTGTGAATAAACAAGAGTGATAGTTAAATTTATAGGCATACGCC